TTTCTTTCTTTTTTTTCCGCTTCTTTTTTTTTCAAAAAGCACACATATGTGATTATAATCATAGAAGCATAGTCATGCAATGGCATATTATTCGACACTAGAAAGAAATAAAATCTATACAATGAAATTAACAAAACTAAACTAAACACATCAAAAACAAAAAGAGAGAGAAAGAAAGATACCTTAATCCAAAAATCTCCCCCAAGCCAAAATCAGACAATGTCCTCATTGTCTTAAAGGGAAACTAGTAGTCAAGGTGACTACTACTCATCATCATCACCAAATCAATGTCACCAAAGCCTCGAGGATTGAAATGCATCTCTTTGGAAAAAAAATATTGGGCAAGAATGAAACAGAGTGTTAGTGGGAAAAAGATAAAAAGGTGAGTCATGTGCACTATTCTGATCATAAATTTTGATTTATGAATGATAATGCAATGATTTTAATTGGGTTGGAAAGTAGCCTTGAAGATCTTTCCAACGATAGGTCACACGCAAAAACCCGATAAGAAACGCAAAAGTTACGGCCTGTAGAAATTGAGCAGTTTTGCTGATCCATACGCGCGCCCGATCGGGCGAGCTCTGCCCGATCGAATACGAGTGCAGTCCAGCGAATTCAATTCTTCTCTAGCTCAAAATCTGCACAAAAACAAACTCCCACAAGCATAAGTTACACTCTCCTTACCTCTCTAAGAACCAAAAAAAACGAAAACACACAAAAATTAGGAAAGACTAAAATAAAAAACAATAAAATACGGGTTGCCTCCCGCAAAGCGCTAGTTTATCAAGGTCCCGCTCGACCGTACTCCTCCCTCCTCAATCAGAAGAATTCAATGCCTTGAGTAACTTATCAAACGCTCCTGCAAACATGTCATTAAGCACTAGATAGGGCTTAATTGCAAGCATAGGTATCTTTACATAGAAAAAATTAGGAGCACATAAAGAGAACTCAAGGTAAAAGGAAAAATCAAAAGGAAGAGATGAAAATATACCACAACCTTCTACTTCCTCCGCTAAAAATTTAGAATTAATAGATCGAACATGGAGGTAGTCTTTGTCTTTATCATCCAATAATAACTTGAATATTTTACCCTCATGAATAACCTCATCATTAACAAAGGAATTTTCAACCACCGTTTTTACAACTAATGATTTTTCAATCACCGATTCGTGAACCAATGATCTTTCAACCACAAATTCTACAACTAATGGTTCTTCATCCTCAATAACATCCGTGTTATTATAGTGTCCATAGACTTTTTCATCAAGAGCCTTCCAATAACTCTCATTTGTAACTACTCTTCTCAGAATAAGATCATATGTAAATGGAAAGACTCTAAAATCATCCGGAGCACGCACGAAAAACTCACTATAAGGGCATTCAGGATTTTCATGGCAAAGAAGTTGACAACAACAGTAGTCAGGTTCTGCATAATATGAATATAAATCTTGTTGTGGCTTAAGCATGGATATTTTCAACTCATAAAAAAAATTAAATAAAAAAAAATCTAGACTCAATAAAGCTTAGTAAAAATGAATCACGAATAATTAACATGAAACCGTTAGTCCCCGACAACGGCGCCAAAATTTGGTAGGCGTGTCGCGTACCTATCAAAAATAACCTAACAGACCAATACTAATGTAGACTGGCAAGTAAGGGTCGGATCCCAAGAGACTAAGGTTCAAAAATAATTAAATAGACTCGAATTTCTACTAAGCAAGAATCAATTATAATCAATTATCTACGGAACTAAGTATGAGAAGAATTCTAAAATAAGCTAAATAAGATGATTAAATCAAGTACTTAAAACATCCAAGATCTAGTTTCACCACAATTATTATCGATGCAATTGTAATTCTACCCTTAACATACGATTTCAATCGAACGGGGAAAAGTAAACCCTAATAATTACCAAGGATCTCCCTCGAGTATCAATGGCTTCCCTAACATACAACCAATCTTATTCTCATGGTATCATGCATATTAAAGACATTAAACACGTTACTCTCACATCCCAATTATCAAACCCAACTACTCTCGTGTTGAATATCAAACCCTAAATTGATCTACTCAAATCCTTTTAAATCCAACTCTCGTTGTGATTGAAACAATGGAATAATCACAATACTAAGATTACGTCTAACCTAGTATTGGCATAATCACAATCAATTTAGCATAGCAATTGCAAAAGTTATTAGAGAATTTAAAGATTTAATTCATGCATCAATCATAATTGAGCTACCTTAGATCTTGGAATAAGAAATCTACTCACACATATTGAAAGAAACAATAACAAAAATAATTAAGGAAAACATAATTAAGAAAATTAAAGATGAAAAGAAAATACCGAATCTTGAATTAAATTGAAGGTGGAAAGTATAAATCTTGAATCTTGAATTACAAAAGTAGAGGAATTAAAATAGAGAACTAGTTCTTCACCATAAAAAAATAAAAGGCTAGAATAAAACTTAATGAATCCCCCAAGAAAAACAAAGCTAAAGAATATACATACAAGCCCAAAAAGATAAGAAAATCGGCCAAGCCTTGGCGCACAAGAATCTCATGAGGCACGGACGTGCCTCTCTAGAAATAAAAACGCTGCAGAGTCTGTCTTCCAGGCACGGACGTGCCTGACTGCTGGGCACGGACGTGCCTGCTCTGCTGCGCGTATCACTCATCTTAAATCAGTTATAACTTCATATCCAGAGCTCCGTTTGAGGCGTGTAAATTATTGTTGGAAAGGTCTTCAAGTCTACTTTCCAATGCAATTTGAATCACTCCATTATCATTTGTATATCAAACGTTATGAGCATAATAGTGAACAGGTGTCTTATTTGTCAAGTATTTCATCAACGTTTTGCTTCATTTCCACTCAATTAGCTCCGTTAATCCTGAAATACATCAAAAACAACGAAACTACCCATAAAAGCATTGAATCATCGAAACTAAACCAAATTACACCAAAATGGACTAAAACACTCGACTAAGCTAATAAAACCAACCAAAAATAAGCTAATAAATATGCACAAAACACGACTTATCACACTTACACCAGGTGGCGTCCTCCAACCCTTGTAAATACATGAGGTTGGTGTAGGCCATAAGGTGGTCTTCTGGATTGGTAGTACCGTCATAGGCGCCTACCAATACATTTTTAACTTTAGCCGGTTGGGCGGCCTCGGTTATGTCTTTGGAGAATGCCGAAGGCTGTTCCCCAAGTCTTTGCAGCCGAAGCTGCCAGTCCAGCGGCTGGATTCCGGGTGCCGCCTGTCTTCCAAAGGGAGTAGGCTGCACGAAAAATTGTCCATAGGGCCCGTACTGCTGTTGTGGCATATAGGGGGACGCCTGGAACATTTGAGGAGTAGAATGGACGGACATGTCGCCTGTCTGACCTCCTTGATTTAGATTAGAACACCTCATGGGGGTATTCTGAAAACTATCATTGAAGTTCGACGTTGAGGCCGACTCTGATAGTTGCATACTCTTCTTTTGCTGGATTATCATCCGAGCATCAGAGTATGCTTTTTGGGAACCATCCGGCTGAATATGACGGATGACTTTTCTTTTTCCTGGCGCAGGACATTGAAGTCTGGCCAGGTTTATTAAGGGTTGCCGCCCCTCCCTTGGTTTAGGATAAGGGGTAGCCGCTCGGATGTTGACCGGTTTATTCCTCCCAGAATGGGAGGGTTCTTTGGCCGACTGTTCCTTGGCAGGAACAGCTGTTCGGTCTGTAATCAGGTCCCTTATCTCCCCCCTGAAACTTCTCATGAGGACATGAGTTCATTTCTCGTGATGGGCGTGGAACCCTCGTCTGCCTGGTGATGACCAGCCGTCTGGCCGGCTGTTTCACTGGGCCCGGCCTGGTTAGCGGTCCGTTTCCTCCTTTCGGTGGGTCGGACACGTCGTGACCGGAGAGACCCGTCAGGGGCCGTATGAGTAGACCTGGACTTCGACCATGGGCCGTTTCTCATTTAGAATTTGTACAGGTTCTTGCGAAGCCATCTTAAAAGTACTCTCCCCACAGACGGCGCCAAATATTTCGGGGTTTTTTTATGTCCTGCGAGAGAGTTACAATTCCAAGACTGGCCTCTGGACACCTGTACCTGCAAAATCACAGAGACTCCGGTCAGTGGGAGCTCCGCCTCCGACGATCAAGTTAGAACGTGTTGTAAGAGTTAAGTACGGAAAGTAAGGTCTCTCTCGGATACCAAGAAAGGATCTGCAATGTAAAATTGCTCTGTTTGGAGTGTCAGGTGACTGACTTGTTCTCTGTTTGAAGAGTAAATGTGTTTGGCTAATTTCTGAATACATGTTTCCTCAGGGGAAACATCTGTATTTATAGTGGAAGGAAGAGTCCAATACTAGGTTTCTTTGCAGAAACCTAGGACTGATTGGACTCTGCCTAGGAGTTTGGGCCGTACAGGCTGCTTCCTGTCAGGCTTTCCTACCTGCCACGTGTCATGGCCTGATTGGTCTACTTTGGACGACCTCTTACAAGGTGACATGTGGCACATCACAATTGGTCCACGTGGCAGGCTCTTATAGGCCCTTGCGGACGACACGTGGCGAACCAGGACTGGTCCACGTGGATGACACGTGTCGAACCAGGAGTGGTCCACGTGGTTGACACGTGTCGAACCAGGACTGGTCCACGTGGAGGGAAAAAATTCCCCTAAACAAATACCATTGGTTATTTAGTGATACTATATCTGCACGTAGTTGGTACCAGTGAATGCATATATAGTACCACTACATACATATATAGTACCACTGAATATTCAACGGTACTATTTGATCATCCAATGGTATTATTGATCATCTAATGGTACCACTCTAAATTCAGGATATGTATTTACGTGTAATTACACTATTGCCCCTCGTTATATAATTGTTTGTGCATAACAATCCTCCCTTTGAACGCTCTATAACAACCCATTTTTTAAATATCAACACACAACATCCTTGTGAACAATTAAGCCTTATTTGGCAACACTAATGAATTGATTGAAATTGAAAAAATAGTAAATGAAACTGATAAGATTTTCACATGTGCATCCGATGGAAAAATAAAATTTCCTCAACGGAGTAACAAACAATTTTACCAATCCTATGCATCAATGTCCTTATTGTGACATTCAATGGGAGCAACAACATCATCACCATCAATTCTATCAAGTGCCAAAACTAAGCCCATAACAAAAGCAGCATCATAACCAGCCTTAAGAACAAGACTAAAAACATCTCTTCCTAACACTATTTTTCTTGTGGGCTCCACTTTACGTTTAATCGTAGCCACTGATTCTGTCAATGCATCACCATGATCTGATGATGTTACATGATATATGGTGCAACTTCTCTCACTGAAACATCCCTCAATTTGGTATTTTGCATGAGATCCACCGTTGATTTCCACGTTTAAGCTCGACCGTCCGATTAAGGTTGACTTCCATATGTTGAAAATTGGTTGTAGTTGTTGTTGATCGTTGGATTTCTCTCCCAAGAATCCTTCCCACCTATGATGAAGTGTAGGCCTCTATTTCCATGCCAAATATTGTATATGGATTAGAAGAAAAAAAAAAAAATAATGTTCAACGAAAAAACTAAAAAAGTAACCTTGTTTATGTTAACAAGTATAATTTTGTCTACATTGATCATCATACATCGTATGTACAATGTAACAATATAATCTCGAAGCATCTAAAAGTCATGAAAGATACTATTAATTCAGTGATACCGTACCTAGTGAATAGTGACCTTGACCCTAACTAGCTAAAATTAGGATGCCTACAAAGACACAAAAAAAAAAAAAAAACACTTTATTTTAAGTTGCTATTGTGTGTCAATCAATCATCTATAGATGATAAATAGAGTAGGTGATATGCGAAAAGCTAGAATATTACAGATGTAAACTTGAAAGGGTTTAGTGTGTTGCTTTTACTCTCTAGTCAAATTTCATCCACCTATGAGGGTTTTTTTTTTTTTTGATTGAAACCCACCTATGAGGTTTTTTTAAGTCAATAATAAACTTATATTCCAGAAACATGGACCCAAAATAAGTGTGAGACTACGTGTATAATATGTGCTCTTAAATGTGCTTGATATAGCGATGTTTGAGATAAGTTTTCAAATAGAGTTAACAATTAGGTTTAGCCTAGAATGTATAATTATGAAATCAAAGAAAGTGTTCATTCATGCCAAGTCTGTGTTTGAAATTTTGAACTTAAATACATGTGACATTTGTTTATGTACTCACACTCAACAACCCTACGATATCCTAGAAACATACTTTAGGTTACAAGATACCAATCATACCGTCAATAGTAAGCGATTAATTGCTAATAGAATCTTTCATTAAAAGGATGTCCCATTTACACAAATATTGACAATCAATTTTAAAGGATGTCCATTAAGACAAATATAAGTTTATTATGAACATAAAAGTAACCAAGTTTAGTTATAAAAAAGTTTTAACACTCAAAGTTTTTCAAAAGTGGACATCTTTTATAAAGAGTTTGTAATAGTGTAAATTTTGTAGGCCCAATGCCAGAGGATCCACGTTCAGCCCATTAATGTTGAGCCCACATTTTGTTAGAGAGGAAATTGGTAGAGCTTCACCAATTACAGACGCAATTTCTTTATTCCTTTGCGTACGAAATAACGAAACTATGCATTGGCGCGTGAACGTTAAGATGTTGCAATTAAAAGAAAACGGGGTATGTATATAAACTAAAGCAGGGATTAGAGAGTATAACCTCCACACATGTACCATTCTACATTTATAATAGTATTTCTACAATCACCATTACTTGGTATTATGTTGCATGATCAAAAAAATTATTAAGAATAAATGAAATTGCACAATAACACCATGAATAAGGATATATATAAGCACGAAATGATCACCTTAGGGAGGAGAGTGAGGAGGGGCTTGCCAAAGGTATCCATAAGAAGGAGGCGATTCTTAGTCGGAGAGCACGTATCAACTCGAAAGACGATATCACCCTTCGAGTCATACACTATGAACCCATCTCCTTGGTTAAACATTGAAGTTTTGTGCACGGTTAACTCTACTTCTTCCTCATAACAATATCTTTCTTCCACCACCACCTCTTTCTTCACTTCATTATAATCGCACATTTTTTATTTTTTTTTTGTGAATCTTTTACTATACTACAAAGTCTAATAACTTAATAAGAAGAAATAATGAACAATAATAGTAGCTACTAGAAGTATATATTGTTGTAGTTATTGTTTAAGGAATTAAAGAAGGATTTAATTTGCTTTGTTGAGGTGGTTGAAATGGTGTGGCTTTTGCTATAAATGAATCTTCAATCAATCTTATCACTTTGGGCCTTAGCTTAATTTGGCCTACTAGTCGTTGTTGTGAGGGTTGTGGTATGGGGTTGGAGTCTTATAGGAAGTCAAGGAAGTCGGTCGTTTTAATGGAATGTACTAGTATTAATTAAGTACGTTGTTATTTAGCCGCACTAAAAACATTACTCTCTTCGATTTTAAATATTAGCTCTGTTTGTACGCAATTTATGGAAGCCTTGTGAGTTGTGATTATCACATGAAAATTAATTAATAAAAGTAATGTGCATGTGCATGAGTGAATATAAAAGCGTTATTTTAATTGTTTGTAGGAGAGAGAAGTAATGAGGAATTAGTTCAAATTAAGTTAAATTAAGGGCAATGAACTAATGATATATGCAATCTATATTATAAACATAAAACATACTTCCTTCGTTTCAAATTAGATGACACGTTTTGATTTTTGACACTATTCATTAACTTTGCTTTGCCTAACATTTGTGATTTATAGTTATAAAAAATATAGTCATGTGGAATCTTGTTAGATTTATTTCAATTGTACTTAATTAAAATTCTATTTTTAGTATTTTTTTACAATAATAAATTAGTGATATTTTTTAATTGAACTATTGCATTGGCAAACGTGATAAAAGAAACGTGTTATCTAATTTGGAACGGAGGAAATATATTTTTTAAAATGGTATAAGTTTGATAATTTATGAAAAATACACGCGTCAATTGGTGTAAGAAGTAGTGCAGGTGAGGATTTTAAAAACAATTGTAAGAAATAGACAATGGTTTAATAGTTTATTTGAAAGTAAAGGATATGAGAGGATATTCATTTTATATAAAATAAAAAATAGAAAAAGGGACCATGATATAAGGACAATTTTAATATAAATATATAGATATTTCCAAAATAAAATTAATGTACTTACAAAAAATTGTCACCATACAAAAATAGTGTACTGGATAAACAAACAAAGATTAAAATTCTAATGCTAAACTTGAGGTCGTGCGTGAGTCTTGTACATTAGAGAGAAAAATAAAAACTGATTTATGGAACTTATATGAAAAAATGCATTAAATGCTCTAAGTTATATTTCACGCTTTTAACCATTCCTATGAGAAAACCTAAAATTATTAATTGTTATATGGTCAATAGAACAAATACCATGACATTCACAATTTACCACCGATGATATCCTCTTTTTTTTTTTCCTCCACTAATCAATAAAAATACCAAAATTACCCTTCTTTTTTGCTTAAAAAAATTAAAATTTTCATCGCTAAATGAACTATTCACGTATAAGTGTTAATTTTGTACAACCCGCCCTCCTAATCTCCTATGTACAAAAATTCCTAGTGATGAGATTCCATGGGTGCAACCTCAACAACATCATCAGTTCATCACCATCAATTCTATCAAGTGCTAAAACTAAGGCCATACCAAAAGCAGCATCAAAACCAGCCTTAATACATAGAGTAAAAACATCTCTTCCTAATACTAATTTTCTAGTGGGCTCCACCTTTCGTTCGATCCGAGCCACTAATATTCGACACGTGGTATGATCTGATGCAGTGGACATATAATATATCGTGCACCTTCTCTCACTGAAACACCCTTCAATCTGGTACGTTGCATGAGATACATCGTGTACTTCTACCATGATTATTTTGGACCGTCCGATCATTGTTGATTTCCACATGCTAAAGATGGGTGGTTGTTGATCATGATGCCCTAATTTTTCACCCATGAATCCTTCCCACCTTTGATGAAGTGTAGGCCTCTATTAATCCCAAAGAAAAAAAATATTGTAAGTAATAAAAACAAAATTAGTGCTAAGTAACTTTATGTCAAACTAAATATTGACATATTGTTTGACCACTTCTTGTAAAAGGTTGCGAATAAAAATTATAAAATGAGGTGTTGAAGAATAGACCTCCCAAATATCACCACATGTAAGAGTCTCACATTAGTTGAAAAAGAGAGAGTTAATCACTTTATAAGGCTAAGGAACTACTCCTATTGCCATATGATTTTGGGATGAAACCTTCTTTATACTTGTGAAATGGATTGTTTCTCTTGGTTTGTGGGTACGGCCCAAACCCATATTTAACATGGTATCAGAGCCAGACCTACAATATGGGACCCTAAATGGCTAAAGTTCACTGGGCCAAGAGTAGGTCCAAGTGAGGGGGAGTGAAGAAGCACTCTAGCTTGAAAAATCACATGAAACAAAGTTCAAAAGGGACCTTACATGTGAGGGGGAGTGTTGAAGAATAGACCTCCCAAATACCACCACATGTAAGTGTCCCACATTGGTAGAAAAAGAGAGAGTTAATCACTTTATAAGGCTAAGAGACTATTCCTCCTATTGCCAAATAATTTTGGGATACAACCTCCTTTGAACTTGTTAAGTAGATATATCTAGATGATAATGTATCATACATTATTTTATACAAAATACAAAGCATTTTGCAAAAAGTATATTAAAATGTGTATGATAATATATACAGTACTATATCACAACTTAAAAGTTTGTATTCATTGTCTTTTACTATCAATAACCAAGCGTAAATGATCTTGTAAACAAGCTTTGAAGAAAGGGAGGTTTAATATAAGCCAAAAAATTTACTTATTAACAATTGGTTTTAAAATGAAATTGCCGCCACGAAATAATGTATTATAAGTCAAAAAGTATATAATTAAAAACTATCTTTTGATACGACTATGTTTGACCAATCAAAATTTATGTATAGATTAAGCATCGTTCAAGTAGGCATCTTTAGATTTGAAATAAAATTCCAAGCACTTGTAAAGCTAATGCGTTCAAATTCAGATGCATCTATAGATTGAAACCCTAATAACAATGTTTGGAGATGTATAAATTAGTCGCCTTACATATATAAACTCATCTTGAGGAATAAATAAAATTCAACTTTTCAAGATTATTTTGAGTGACAAATAAACTTTAAAGCATTTCCCTCAAATTCGTAGAGTTGTCAATATTGAGATTAGCTTCTTCTAAAGTATGTAAAAGTGATGACATGTTTTAAAGATCCTCAATGATATTGAGATTATTGATCATCAATTCATCATATATAAAGTATAACAACAAATATTGACAAAAGGGCTTAAATTTTGTTTAACTTACCTTAGGGAGAAGGGTGAAGAGGGGCTTCCCAAAATGATCCATGAGAAGAAGGGGATGCTTAATAGGACCATACGAGTGAACTCGAAAGGTGATATAGCCTTTCGAATCATACGCTATAAACCCATCTCCTTGGCTAAACATTGAAGTTTTGTGAATTGTAAACTCTCTATCTTCTTCATAACAATACCTTTCTTGTACCATCACCTCTTTCTTCGTCTTATTATCCTCCATTCTTTTTTCTTCTCTTCAAAGTAATGAATTTTTAGACGGTAATTTGCAAATTATGTAGCTATATATTAGCATATTACTATATATATTAATAGCATGTAGAAATATTAACTTGATGAAAGCGGCATGGACAACTAAGAGTGGGTTGCCTCAAATTGAATTAATATTAATTAAGTTGAATGATGTTTTTAATTAATCTTGTGTTAAGACTTGAGTTGGATAAAATTTTATGCTTTTAATTTTTAATTAATAGTCAATCTTATCACTTATATATGCCGGCAAGTTATTGTGTGAAATGCGACCACTTCGGCGCTTCCTCTCCTTTAGTTGTATTTATTATTTAATTTGAATTGCAAAGAGTTGACATTTGGTGATTTGAACATAAAAAAATAAAAAATTAATTGAAAAAAACAAAAAACATTGTTCTTTAATGAAGTACGTTTTTTGATAACTTATCACTTGGTTCTCTTGAGAAGCATAAAAAGACTACCCCTTTATTGAACCCACTAATTCCACGAGGTAGAGTTACAGTGTAACACTAGAAAGTAGAAATAGTATATTCCGTAAACATAATTAGTTTAATCACGAGTACAAAATAATAAAAATTGCAAAAAATATAAAAAAGCTGTTAACTTGTCAAGCAGTTTGAATACAATGTTTAAGCTAATGTTTTCAAGTTTACTGGTCAACTAAAATCCAATAACAGTAAATGATTATTCTTGATATTCAAAAAAACAAAATTGTATAGTACTATGAGAGGAATTGGGGACTATTAAAGTGGTGAGAAAGCATACGGTGATAAAACAGGGTCCTATTCACTTTACCTTAAAAAAATATATAATATTCAGTAAAAATAAGTTCAGTTTAGTAAAAATAAGTTTAATTCAGTAAAAATTATTTCAGTTCATTAAAAATTAGTAACTTTAAAGGACAAAATATAACAGAAAATCAGTAAAAATAATTTCAGTTTAGCAAAAATAATTTCAGTTCAGTAAAAATAATTTAAGTTCACCAAAAATAATTTCAGTTCAGCATAAATAATTTCAGTAGCAAAAATAAGTGAAGTGAATGAGGCCTAAGAGTAAGTAGAGACCATAAGTGGATAAAGTCATATTATTATTAAAATGTAGAACAGTAAGAGATTTTCAAAAGAGGAAGTGTGTCATTAAAAAAAAACCGGTCGAATAAGACAAGATATTTAAAAATATGGAGAGAGTAGTATAATAAACTAAGATGAATACTTGTATAGTTTTACAACTGAAAATGAGCTGACGTTTTAAAATCTCGAATCAATATAAAACCAAACCTACTGTAACCAGACAAAATCCATTTAGAACCCGGTTTCAACCCAACCAAAAATTATCCGAATCAAACCGACTTGTAAGTGTTTAACATTGATCTAGATCGATCATGAACTCTTTTCAACCCGACTTGATTTGACTAGCAACCCATTAAACTTGACCCATATAATCAGTGACTCGATAATAAGTTAAATTAAATCGATATAAACCTGAACCTGCAATAATCCAAGTAAACTCGCTCCCAAACCGACTGGTATCGAACCAACCCATTATGACTTGAATCATCATTTATGACCTAAACCGAATTAGAGCTGCATAAAAATACATTGAAACCGAAACGAATCGATATGATCACCTTTAGTAAAAGGTTGTCTTTGTTTCTTTTTAACTTAAACGAGCTCCTCACTTATCATCACCTTTAGTAAATGGTTGTCTTTGTTTCTTTTTAACTTAAACTCACATTTATGCTTTTGCTCATTTTGGACCTTTGCTGTTTACAATGTGATGGTTTGAGCAGTTGAGCAGGATGCTCTGTTTAAGCCAGTGTTATAATGATTACAGGATGCTTTTAATTTCTTTTTTATTCCGCCCTTTAAGTTTATTCTATACTACAAATGATTATACGAGACTACTACTTTACTCTCACACTAATTACTTTATTACTTTTGAACCCGCCAATTTTTCTCTCATCAACTCTTCCCAACCAATAATTTAAAAAGCAACTTCATTTTTATGGGGCAAAAAGTGAAGGACGGAGTGACTAATGAAGAAGGCCGCATAGAATGTCATCTTCTAGCTGTTTGTGCAGTTATAGATACAAGTATATCATTATTGTAGTCAATGTATATGTTGGTATGTTTATTGCACTATACATTACAATTTTTTGGATTTTACCAATTCGTACATTTTTTTTTTACCAATCAAAGCTTGGTGGAGTTGGTGGGGAACTCACCTTGTGACTTTAAGGTTACATGTTTGAGACCCACCAACTACAAAATGCTTGGGAGTAGGGGGATTCTCTTACCTCCCCCCTCACTCTCAAGTGTCGACTTGTGGAGGTGGACTGATTAAACCTGTGAGAGGTGCCGGTTTAGTAGGGTCTTTCATCTTACCTTAAAAAAAAAATCCAATGCGTACATTTTTTATGTATGGGAGTAGAAGGGTATGTTGGTTAACCAACAAAAATCAAACAATCTTACCTTAGATTATTGAGTTGAGCATAATTATTCCAATGATTCATTTATGTGCTGTTTAAGATTGCAACTGCATCCTTTTACTGTTTTATCTGGATTTGAGACTAAAATATTCTAGTAAGGTTCTGAGGTAGATTATACTTGTAGTTTACTAGAATGCGCGCAAACAGAAAGTAGGGTTTCATAGCTTGAAGATGTTAAGAAAGATATGTGCACCTGAAACTTACATTTTGTACTTTGAAAATACTTGACAGTCATCCTGGAAGTGGGTGAAGGAACTGCTGTGGGAACATATTAGATGCACTTAGCGGAATTTCAAGAAACAATTTCTTAGCACCTAAAACAGGATCTCATGCACATAATAATATGAATCATAAGATTAAAATATTATACCTTTGATGCGTAATTTCCACAAAGCAAGAGGGCACTTCTTCCGGTTAATTAGAGATCTTTAGAACGTCAATTGTCGTCCCTCTAATGTTGGTCCACGAGCAATGAATGAATCTCCACGTATGCTAGTACGGAATAAGGAACAATTCCTTATTGCTTTTGTTGGAGTTTATGTGAGTGAAGTTTGTGATTAATGAAAGATGTCATGATTCATTAAAGTCACTTAGTCATATTTATAATAGACCATCGCAACTCTTCACGTAATTGCATCTCTTCACATAATCGCATCTCTTGGGCATTAACGCCTATTCATGCATATTTATTCAATCATATACTCATATGTGTGACCTCATAGGACCGGATTATTATTAGCAGTAAACTAATCGCATTAGTTCACAAATCATAGTTGGTTTCTAGCAAAACATTATGATTACCTAAAATAACCGATTATAATTTATCTCCATATTTGTCCTAATTACAATTAGTAATTACACTTGATCGACGGACATTTCCTTCAATCTCCCACTTGTCCTAGAACAAGTGTGTAACCATAAATTCCTTAAGTCACTTAATGTCGAATTTGATAATATGATAACATCTTATGTCATCCATATTAAGATTCAAATTGTTTCTTGAAATCTGAGTTAAGAACTGTAGAAACAAGTGATTAAATCTTTAATCCACTTGAGCACGGCCATGCATTTTCAGTTACTAACTCTTCAAGAGGCCAAGACACCAATCCCATTTAAAATAGGAGGACTTATCCATTCTTGTCCAACCAATACTCCCACTAAAATTTTAGCACTCCTGATTGCTGCCTTTATTACCTCCTTTTACGGCACGGCGTTTGACATCATCAAGGATATACCAATTATCTCATGGAAGAATGTTGTTCTCATGTCTGAGGAATCCACTAAATATAAGTTTGAAATCTTATTTCAATTTTGGTCTGTTCCATACACATCACAATGCATATCTATGTAGTCGACTAAACATCTCTATGTCCCTATAGCTCATGAAACTGAACTATCAATCGATCCACATACTAGTCTTTTGATTAAGCCATTTATGTCCACTAATGTCTCAGACTAGGAACGCTAGTAATTTATAATTTATGTTCTCCTAATAGGGTTTCATTTGTCAAATCACGCATTTGACAACCTATAAAAAAATTACAATTACTTTGAACATTTTATTTAATTCTAAACCAGAATTAAATAAGAATAATTTATTGATAAACATAAACATTACATGAGTCAATGTCTTTACAATTATGAAAATCAATTACACAATCTAAAGCCATTCTCCAACATGCTTGATTCGAATAGCTCTAGCGTGACTTTCATGCTTTGGCTGTGGTAGGGGTTTAGTCAATGGATCAGCGACATTCTCATCCGTATGAACTTTGCAAACTCTGACATCTTTCCTAGCAACAATTTCACGGATTAAATGGAATTTCCTTTCCACATGCTTAGATTTATGATGTGATCTTGGTTCTTTTGCCTGAGCAATTGCACCATTATTATCACAATACAAATCAACTCCATTCACAATGGAAGGCACAACTCCCAACTCAATGAGGAATTTCTTAATCCAAACGGCTTCTTTGGCCGCTTCAACTGCTGCCAAATATTCAGCTTCTGTTGTAGAATCTGCTACAGTGCTTTGCTTTGAACTTTTCCAGCAGACTGCACCTCCATTTAGACAAAAAATGAAACCAGATTGTGATCGGAAGTCATCTTTGTCGGTTTGGAAACTTGCATCTGTGTAACCTTTAACAACTAAATCACTTTCACCTCCATACACTAGGAAACTATCCTTAGTCCTTCTTAAGTACTTAAGGATATTCTTAGCTGCACTCCAGTGCGCGTCGCCCGGATTTGATTGGAATCTGCTACATACGCTCAAAGCATATGAGACATCTGGCCTTGTACAAATCATAGCATACATAATTGATCCTATAGCAGATGCATAAGGAACATTTTTCATTCGCTTAGTCTCATCAGATGTTTTTGGACACTGAGTCTTGTTTAGCGATATGCCATGTTGCATGGGAATGAATCCTCTTTTAGAGTTTTCCATATTGAACTTTGTAAGAACCTTATCTATATAAGTTTCTTGACTTAGTCCAATCATCCTTCGAGAC